GGGGGGGGGCCCCACCCTTTTGTATGCGTGATAGACCCTGTTTTATATTAGATAATTCTTCAGAAGAAAAAGAAAGAAAAGAAGAAGAAAAAGATAAAAGAGAAGAACCAATACAAGCGGGAGATTGAGAGTGAGACATTCCCTCGCTCGGGTGTATAGGCAGCTCCGCTCCTGCTAGGTATTTTTTTTCAGGTGTATAGGCAGCTCTGCGGTGTATATACACCTCAATATACAGCGAAAAAATAAAAGAATTTAAGAAAAAATCAATGAAATATACAAAAATTTACACAAATTTTACCCCACAATACCCTAAACCCTAAACCCTAAACCCTAAAAGCCCTAAACCCTAAACCCTAAACCCTAAACCCTAAACCCTCGGTGGTGGGTCCCGGGGGTGTTTCTTCGTTGGGGTTTGTTGCCGCAGAGAATACAGCGAAATATAATTAATTTAATTTATTTTCTTCTGTTTTCTCTCTATAAAACAACCTAAAAAAATAAAACCCTAGACCCTAAACCCTAAACCCTAAACCTTAAACCCTAAACCCTAAACCCTAATCTTCCGGGTCACCCGGCTCAGAAAACAGCAAAATATAAACCACTGAGGGTTTAATATACGATAGTAAAATTAAAAGAAAAAAACTAAAGCGTCTATTGGCCCTAGGGTTTAGGGTCTAGGGTTTAGGGTTTAGGGTTTAGGGTTTAGGGTTTAGGGTTTAGGGGGTTTCGGCTGCAGCAGTAATTCTTTGCTGCAGCATCGCCGATGTAAACAATTTACCCTAAGAAAAAACAACAAACAAAAAATATTAACTATATTTATATTTATATTTATATTTATATTTATATTTATATTTATATTTATATTTATATTTATATTTATATCTATATATTTATATTTATATATTTATATTTATAAGAAAGCAGCACGCCACAAAAAATATTAGGGTTTAGGGTTTAGGGTTTAGGGTTTCTAGGGTTTAGGGTTTAGGGTTTTTAGGGTTAAGGGTTTTAATTAATAAATAAATATAAGGATAAATATAAATAAAATATAAATATATGTAATATAAACATGTATAAGTACGTATGTATATAATATAATATATATATAATACATATATATAATATATATATATTATATATTATATATATATATATATATTATATATATATTATATTATATATATTATACTATATATGTTATATTTTATATTTATAGAGCGAAATACAAAAAAGAGAAAAGATAAAGAGACAAAGAAAAAGAGACAGAGAATAAAGAAGAGACAAAAAAACAAACAAAAAAAAAAGTAAAAAAAAAAACAAACAAAACTAGAAAAAGGAGACAGAAGAAAAGAGAGACAATAAAAACAAATAAAAACACAAATAAATAAATAAACAAACAAACAAAAAAAAACAAAAAAAATAAATAGAAAGACAAAGACAAAAAAACAAAAAAATAAATATATGAACAAACAAAATAAATAAATAAATAAAAAACTAAAAAAAACAAAAAAAAATAAATCAATAAAAAACAAATTAAAAAAAAAGACAAAGAG